CATGTGCAAGCAAGTTAAAGTTTCTATTTCACGCACATTATGTGATAATCGTACGCACATTAATTCTTACAACAGGAATTCTGCACTGGTTATGCACAGTCTCTGCAAAGGTTTTCTGATGAGATGGTAAACCTAATTGAGTACTCAAAAAATTCACCAACCATGATTAAAAAAAAATGAGAATGTAAAAAACCTGCATTCAATGGCTATAAAGGCACTCAGTCATGTGGTTCAAGGCGTGCAATCATGTCTCTCCCAAAAAGAGCAAGAAGCATTTAGCAGCCAAGACTCCTTTTGGGGCGATCCATAAACATATATTGCAATTGACCTTGCAATACAAAAAATGAAAGAGTATTTGGAAGAACAGCTGTTTGAATTTCCCAGTTTCAACCTTTTAAAAACACCAATACCAAGCCCCACTTGCAGCAATGCCGATAGTGCTACAGTGACCCCCGTTGTTACTTCCAATCCAAAGGAAGCACAGACAGAAACAAGTATTTCAGATGAGGTTTTAAATATTGCTGCTTGCTACGTTGTTGATGATCTTCTGCAGACTACTTTGAATGGAAACAATAATGACAAGGTTAAGTCTCGTGACGAAGATCACCATGCTGACAGTACTCTTGCCACAGAATTTGAAACACATAAGATTCAGAATACAAACAAGACAAGTGTTAAAGAAACTACAAAGGAAACAGCAACGCCTGCTGATGGGAATATACAGAGACACTGTGTGCAAAGCAAAATGATATATGCAATGGACTCTCCATGCTTTACAATGAAACTGAACTTCACTGCACCGCACACTCCGAATGAAATCATTCTCAACAGCTGGGTTTATAACGCCAATTATACAAATATGTAAGTTACAGTTGAAATTCCTATGTATGAAATTAGTTTCATAACATGTTAGTGTTTCCTGTGTGCTATTAGATGTTAATAATGTGTGAGTCTTATACTTAATGTGCCTGAGATTTCTGATTAATGTGCGTTTGTGTAATGCTTAATGTGCGTTTGTGTAATGCCTAATGTGCGTGAGTTTTATGCTTAATGTGCGTCAGTGTCTACTTAGTGCGGGTTGTTGTGTGAGTTGTAAAAACTTTAAATTGCATGATTTGTGTGCTTAATGTGCGTGACTTTTGTGATTAAGGTGTGTGAGTCTTGTTCCTAAGATGGGTGAGTCTTATACTTAATGTGCCTGAGATTTCTGATTAATGTGCGTTTGTGTAATGCCTAATGTGCATCAGTATCTACTTAGTGCCAGTTGTGTGAGTTGTTAAAACTTTAAATTGCATGATTTGTTTGTTTAATGTGCGTGAGTTTTGTGCTTAATGTGTGTGAGTCTTATACATAAGATGTGTGAGTTTTGTTCTTAATTTACTTGGGTGTTTATTTAATGTGAATTGTTGTTAAAACTTAAGGTACATGTGTTTTTGTAGAAAGACACACCTATATTAATTGTAGCAATTAAATTTGCTTTTTTATTTATTTACTTATTGATTTTTTTACTTCATATCTGAAAATTTTTGTAGGTATGAATTTGTTTTTAAACATGGAGAGAAACGTTTACTGATGATTGAGTTGAGGTCATTGAGGAAGTGTGAACATGTCGAAGCTGGTGTTTTGAATACTTGGGGTTTAATTCTAAATAACATGGAGATCTACACCTTTAAGTATCCTACCAAAAGAAGATTCTTTTTCTCAACAACAACAATTGTAAGTTATTTTTTTTTATTATTATTTTATTTTTTTAAAAAAGGAAACTTTTATTAAAAACCAAATGACGAGGTCCAAAAGTGACCAAAGCTACAAAGATACAACTGAGTAAGGTAAAGGCCTAAGGCTAACTAGCGAAGGAGATTAACTCTAAACCACCAAGTGGGCCCAACACCCATACTGCAGACCATCTGCACCCACCCAACCCTTTTTAGACCAGCCTTTCTTCCAGCCACCAAACTTTTTTTTTTTTTTTTTTTTTTTTACGGACTGAGAGAGCACTCCCACCTCAGAGTGTATGCTATGCATGAAACACAAGAATCAAGCACCGCGAGACACATAGCCACAGATAGAGACAGACCAGGCAAAGAGAGCACAGAGCAGACAGAGAAAAACCCCCAAAACTGGAAAGCCCCCTACGCCCTATGCCAGCAAGGCCAATCTACTCCACTAGCCCAGCAGAAACAGAAATAAACATGTAAGCACACGTACAAGATAACAATGAAAGCAAAATAAAGAAGTGGCTCGCAGGCCCAAAATACAGGCACGCAGGCCCACTAGAATAATCATGGCGGATCATCCACGTCAAAGAAAACATGGGGCACATCATCATTAGCAAGTAGAACACGCACCCTAGACGGAAGCTCAGCAAAACATGAAAAACGGGTCTCTCCTGGATTGTACACAACCCAGTCAGCTAGAGCCTGAGTCGGCAAGTTAGCCCTAGATGGGCATAAACTGTAAGAGACAGAGCCACATGAGCATAGAAAACGGAGCCGGGATACCACATCATCTAGTGCCCACGGCGGTCGGATCGAGATATCAAGATAGCATCCCAGGTCTGATAGCGTGGACTCCAAAACCATCTCCCAATATCCTCCAGCCAGGCACCACTCTAGACAAAAAAAAAACAATACCCGAAACAGTCCTTGGGTATGTTCCCCTTGCCCAGACCACGCCACCCCGTAGCAAAGCCCACCCCACAGGGTTGCGCACCAAGGCTGTGGCTCCCCCTACAACGTCCGATAGAGATACATTGATCTTAAGAGCTCCTACTGCAGGCGAGGACCACCTGACCGTCCTGACCACTCGTCTCGGCACATGTGCCTCCAAATATGCAACGATGGTCGTCTAGTTTAGGGGCAGGATATGCTGCATAGGCCAACACCTGAACAAGCATTCCGCAACCCCTCTAGATACCCCGAATATCACTCGCGCAACACTCAGGTGCCCCTCCCATGCATACACCCATTACGGTGCTTCCACATCTCCCACATCACCAAGAAAGGCAACCTGTTAACAACAAAAGAGAATAAAGGATTACACGTCCCCCCACAGCCCCAGCTCGCAACCAGTGTCCTAAGACTCTGGTGACGCGACTGCAAACCTAGGGACGCCAAAACATAATTCCAAACAGCTTTTGCTGTTTCCCCGTCATAAAAAACATGTGTAATAGTCTCAGAAGCTGGGGTTGGACAACACCTACATTTCGATATGAGCACATGCCCAAATCGAGACAAGGCATCATCCGTGGGTACCCGCTCTCGAAGCACTCTCCAAGCTAGGAAAGACACCTTAAAAGGGAGGTGCTTACTCCAACACTTAGCCAGAAGGGGGTCCGGCGCAATGGGCAACACAGCCCTAAGGTAGGCCTTAGCAGAGGAAAAAGAAAACATACCGTCCGAAGCTGCAGTCCAAAGCGGGATATCCCGCGGGCCCTAGCCCATTCGGTACAAGTCCACAGTGACCCCAGCATATAACAACTCCTCATTACCAGTGAGGTCCAGTGCACCGTCGTGCATGTAGTCCAGGAGCATCTCCCGGGAATAAGAAACCCTCGGGAATGGAAACAGCTTGCCTAATGGCCCCAAACCTGACCAGTTGTCCCACCAGAAATTAACCCGACCCTGGAACAAGCGCCAAGTTAGGACCTGCTCTACCTCATCGCGAACTGCAAGCATTCACCTCCAGGTGTGCGAATCTGAATATCGGGCCACCTTAGCAACTGGATGAACCCGTCTACAATACTTGGCTCTCATAAAGTCTGACCAGAACGTGTACTCCGTGTGAAAGTTCCACCACAACTTTGCACTTGCCGCCCAAACCATCAGGTCCAAATCCAAGAAGCCAACCCCCCCCTCCTTCTTAGGCAAGGAAAGAGTTTTCCACGATCTCCAATGGTACTGGGCTCCCCCTGATTACTTCCAGAAGAAGCTTGCAAAGCATCGTTCCAAGTCTCGAACGACTTGCTTGGGCGGCTCGCAGGCTGGAAACAAATGCAATGGAATAGCCTGATGATATCAAGACTGCCTTCCCCCCTTTTGATAGTACCCGTCATTGCCAACTCAAACATTTAGCTTTAACTTTGTCAATCACAAAGGCAAAGTAAATGCATTTCTTACGGCCTATGTATACCGGGCACCCAAGGTACGTAAAGGGGAAATCATTATGTGCACACTCGGTCCCCCTACGAACGTCATCAATTACCCGGACTGGTGTGCGAGGATGCATATAAAACGCACTCTTCTGAAAACTCACCAACTGCCCCGATATCTCCTCATAGTCTTTAAGTGCTGAAATGACCTTTGTAATTGCCCCAAGCCTAGCCGTGCTAAAAATAATGACATCGTCTGCATATGCCAGATGATGAATATGTGGTGTACCCGGGGGCTGAGTGAACCGGGGTACCGTGTAATCATCATAGACTAGGCGAGATAGACGGAGAGAACCTCCGCCGCAATAACAAATAGAGTCGGGGACAGTGGATCCCCCTGCCTAAGCCCCCTGGATGAAGTAAAAAACCCCTCCTTTATGCCATTCACTATTACTGAATACCAAACATTCGACACAGCCCAAAATACCATATCAATCCAAACCTCACTGAACCCCAACCGATGCATTACCGACGTCAGAAAGAACCAGGAGACCCGGTCATATGCCTTAGCCATGTCGAGCTTGAGCACTATATCTTGGTTCTGTCGGTTAAGCCCATGGCACATCTCTGAGGCCAAAAGCACATTATCCGTGATAGAACGCCCGACCACAAAACCGCTCTGCTGCGGCGACAGCACACGAGGTAATATCGTGGCCATCCGGACAACCATGAGCTTCGTAACCACCTTGCTACTGAAATTACAAAGGCTGATTGGCCTGTAATCAGCAAAAGTCCCAGGACTTGGTTTTTTCGGCAACAAGACAATGGATGTGTATGTGATAGCCCTAGTGAAATCCCTCCCAGCGAAATAACTCCGGACCATAGCGACTACATCATCCTGAATAATGTCTCAACAAGCCTTATAAAAAGCTCCCGAGAAACCATCCGGACCTGCCGCACTTGTAGAACTCATCTGCATTACCACTTCCTTGACTTCTTCCACCCCCGGGACAGCTATTAGCAAGTCATTATCATCTTCCATGACCAAACGTGGGATACAATATAATCTAGCCAGATCAAACCCACCCACTTCCGCCGTAAACATGCGCTCAAAAAAGGCCACTGCCTGCTGGGCTATTCCCTGTCTATCCTCCAACCAGACCCCGTCACCATTCTTAACTCGATGAATATACAATTTGCGCCTACGCTCTTTAACAATTGCATGAAAGTAACGGGAGTTTCTATCACCATCTTGTACCTCTGTTACACGCGCCTTCTGCTGCCTATATTCTTCTTCAATCGCTATTTGCTTTTTCAACATAGCCACCCCCTTTTGATATTCAATTAATGCCCGCTCATCCTCAGGGTGCTGCTGTAGCACCGCCTCTAGGTTATGGACAGTATCCTCATACTCACGCAGTTTAGCGAATATGTCCCCAAATACCGTTCTACTCCATTTACTTAGGACTTTGTCCAGTCTCTTTAGCTTAGCGGCCAGAACAAACATCGAGGCTCCATCCACTGGAGCTTGCCAGCCATCACGCACGACCGTCTGAAAAGCCTCATGCTTAACCCAGACGTTCAGGAAGACAAAATGTTTTGGCACCACCTGCGTGGTCAGCAAATTACAAGTTATTAAGAGTGGACTGTGGTCGGACGTGGCTTTTGATAAATGTCGTACAGATGTTTTGAACACCGCCTCCCACTCCGAGGTGTAGAGACAGCGATCTAACCGCATCCATATGGCCGCCTCCCCACGCCTCCCATTCCACCAAGTGAAACAGGAGCCATAGTAGGTTGCATCAATCAAGCCACACGCACTAACACACTCACAGAAGTCTAATGTCTTCCTATGAGAATAAGGCAGTCCACCCTTCTTTTCGTCCACACTCATTAAACAGTTGAAATTGCCCACAATTGACCATGGAACCCCCCCTGGAATCATCGGGCATACAGCTTTGAGCTCATCCCACAATGGGCCCCGAAGAGATTCCCTAGTTTTGGCATAAACAAAGGATAGCCAGAAGGGCGTGAGAACGGTGGAATGAGCACACAAAATAGTGACACACTGCTCCATTTGGCTCTCTATACTCACGGTCAGGTCGTTATTCCAAAACAGCCATATTCTGTTACCCGACCCGTACGCATTATCAAAGTTGAATTTTATTCTAAAAGACTCGAGCCTATCAGCCGTAAAGGCATTATCATATTTACATGGCTCAAGCAGACATAGAATAAAAGGCAAATGAGATCTAAGGAGAACGCGGGTCCTGCGAGCAGAACCATTGGAAGACACCCCTCGCACATTCCACACAAGGACCTTCATTTAGAAATAATAGAAGCGAGAACCGAAGGGCTAGACCCTTTTTCCGTAGAATTCCGGCCTGCACCAGCACCGGGATCTGTCTCAAACCCGAAGGTCCATGAATCCGGCTGGTGCTCTCGTTGTGGGACATCGCTATCTGAGAAGGTAGAGGTAGCCTGATCCCCGACCCTCTCTGACGTGGACGGCTTATAAGACCCCCCCTTAACCAGAGGGATCATGGGCACATAGATAGGATTGCCAAGCCCCTTGGCATCCGAACCTGGGGCCCGTAGGCTTCCCCCACTATCACTAAGTAGAGCAAACCCATTACTAGTGGGCACCGAGAAGGACGTTTCGGTGCCATCACTACCACGGGCCTGCCCGAATCCTGGTTCATAATAACCGGGGCCTTACCTTTCAACTGCCTCATCCTATATCTATAGTTCTTCCTCTGCTTATAGGTCATACCCTCAAGGCTTGCGCTTCCGAGCTCTTGTACTTTGTCGCCCGTAAGGGCCTCAATTGACATGTGAAGAGGGTTATGATACACCTCCCACTTATGAGACCGATCTAATCCCGCAACCCCCTTAGCCTGGAGTCCAGGGATTGTCTTTTGGGGACCGCCCTCCAGTTGCACCGGGGCATTAGCATTGCATACCGGGGCGACCTGAGGTACAGGAATTGTCGTTGTAACCTCGGCACCTGATTGTACCGGGCCATTAGCATTGCGTACCGGTGACCGTGGGCCATGTGGACCACCACCCATCTGACATGCAGATTCTAAGTGTCCTTGCTTTCTGCAAGTTAGACAGTATGGTGGTACCCGCTCATATTCAATTACCTGGTAGAAACGACAGTCTTCCCGACCTGGCCTTAAAGTCCCCATTCTAATAAACATCTTATGACGTAGAGGCTTTAACAGGTCCACTTCTAATAAACATCTTATTTTATTATTGATTTACAATTTCATGCACATTAACAAATGTCTTGGAGCACATACTGCATTGCTGACAAGATTATCATACTCCTGTAGGCATATTCTATTGTGTATAAACCACCCGGATACAGTACTGATCAACTGTATGAAAAGTTTCAAGAAAGTGTTAACCATGACATTGACACTGCTACTGGGGACCCTACAAACTCTCGTTTGGTAAATTAAATTCTACATACTTACATTACATTTGTATTTATAATTTCTCCGAACTAACATGTACAAAATGCAGTTCTTTTTCCCAGTCATTGCAACTGATCAAATATATGTCATATGCATTGATTTGGATGTTTATCATACATGCATACACATACTTGACAACTCTTCTGTTGATGGTGCTGGTATTGCGAAATATGGTGATATACAATTTCTTTTGGTGAGTACTAAGTCACACATTTTAAAACATTTTATGAAGTGTAGGATTTTCTGTTTTGAATGCTTTTCTATTTATTTGCAGAAAGACTACTTTGTGAGATATTTGAACCAAAGCGATTCATACAGTGCCGCAAACAGACTTAAAAAGATTACACCTGAGAGAATGTTAATGCAATTGAGTGATACCGAGAAGAAAGATGATTGTGGTGTATTTACAATGTGCCACATGCAAACATACATGGGGGGTGGAGTGACTGGTTTTCAAAGTGACAGCAGTAAAAATAAATCATCAGATCTTGCAGACCTCAGGGTCAAATACATTACAGCAATTTTAACTGCTGAAATCAATGAACTGTCTGGAAAAAACATGGAAAAGGCTGGTATTAAAGACGAAAAATAGTGAATATTTTTTAGTGTTAAAGGTTTTATTACATTACAGTAGTTCGGCATCTTGATATAAACTCCTTTGGTTTTGAAACACATTAATATATATTTTCACGCAACTTGTATGTTGCATGAACGCATATTAAAAATCACCTTATTAATTCATACAACTGATAATCATAATATGCGTCCACTTAGCCTTGAACGTGCTTTTTAAAAAATTTAATGTGCGTTCACTTTCGTGATAAATAAGTAATTGAAAGGAAAAAAAATAAACATGAAAAATCTTAACATGTTTATAAACCACAGTTAATATGTTTTGATATTCGGTATTAATAATTACATTACAACTTGCTTAAGTTCATATCTTAATGTGCGTTCATTTGCATACTAAAATAACATGGAAAATAATGATTATTAAAAACAAATATATAAAAAAAATACAAATTCAAATAAATTAATGTGCGTTCAAAATCACAATTACGTGCGAGTTATTAAAGTACAACGTGCGAGACCTCAGTTCTTGATGTGCGTTCGTTTGAGTACCAATTAAAATAAATCATTTCTCTCATAACTCTTTAACATGCGTCTCATATCTCTTTAATATGCGTCTCAAATCTCTTTAATATGCTTCTCATATATCTTTAATATGCGTCTCATATCTCTTTAATATGCATCTCATATCTCTTTAATATGCTTCACGTATATCTTTAATGTGCGTCTCATATATCTTTAATATGCTCTCATATCTCTTTAATGAGTGTCCGTCTGTCTAACACTTACTATGCGTGCATGTATTACACAGTATGCTTCAAAAATATAACTTAACATGCTCCATTTTCATAACCAAATAAACTAGATCAATTTTCTGAGATAAAAAAAAAAAAAAACAAATGCAGATCCATGAGAAATAAATATTATATAACAACAGAGAATGGAAAAAGATTTGGAAACAAAAACAATGGACACCGCAATGCTAAACGACCGAGAGACGATAGACAACTGAACGATTCTTTGAAAAACAAAAACAACGGCGACGGCAATGCGAACGACGATAGAGAACAGCGATGAAGGTCAATTTATTCAAAATTACTAACTTATCCCTCAGTACGTGAATACAATAAAAAATACGCGAATTTCAATCTTTGAGATCAACGGTCAAGATATTTTAACTCATTTAAAACGAACGGCATCCTTGCAACCGCACCTAATAGTGCCAACGGCACCAGAACCCGAACCTATATATATGTATATATATATATATATATATATATATATAGTCGAGTTCAGGTGCGGCCGCGTCTTCCCGTACGGTTAATGCGGCCGCACCAATAGTTATACAAATATACACCATCCATGTTAGTAAATGCACAACAAAAGACATGCACAAATTAAGTACGCATCACCAAAAATGCACCATTAGATATTAATAAAAGTACCACACAGTGTTTAGAAATACACCATTAGGCCTGTGGAGTTATATGGTGCATTGTTTTGTGTTGTGTGTTTTTTGGTGTATTTGTGCATTTCATTGTTGTGCTTTTTTCTAACACTATTGATGCCTTTTGTTAACACTGTTGGTGTATTTTGTCAAGCGACCGAACGGCCCGCACGGGACGGCGCGGCCGCATTTGAACAAAAGTATATATATATATATATATATATATATATATATATATATATATATATATATATATAATAATAATAATAATAAATGGTTTAAATCTCAAATTACCTCCAAAACTTTAATTCAAAATTTCAAAATAATATTTATGCAGAAATTTTATAAAATTTGCTAATTATTAACAATTGCTAATTGTCAAAAGTGTCAAAAGAATGTGGCCTCATAAAAGTGGATAGAACCTTTTTTTTTTTGTCCTAACCTGTAAATTTGAATTTTCCACTGTCCTTTTGCTTTCTGTCTCCCAATAATTACCAAGTTGGTTTCTAGGAAATTATGTGAAGTTGAAATTGACTTCGGACTTGAAGTAAAACACCTCTACAATTTCAATCCAATTTAAAAAACAATTATTTTCTTCTATTGATATATAAATTAATTTTAAATATTAACAAAATAGCTTTCAAAAAAAAATATTAACAAAATAATGGAAAAAAAAACTTCAAATTATGTGAAATCTTTTTGCAAAATTCAAAATAAAATAATTTGTATTTAGTAAATATTTGAAAATACATATTTATTATTATTATTATTATTACTATTATTGTTATTGTTGTTGTTGTTGTTGTTATTTAAAAAGCTAGAATGAATGAAAAAAAATCATAACGAAATTTTAAGATTACAAATCTTGCAAAAAAAGATACGTAGCTGAAATTTTAAAAGACTATATATCATATATCCTCATACAAGATTGAGACTTGAACCCTGTTAAAAGGTGGGAATAGTCTAATGAAAATTAATTTAAAAGTTAATTTTAGCGAATGTTTTTTTTTGTTTTTGGTGGTGATTCTAAATTTAATCCTAGAGTGTTGTTTTTGTCATTTAATATCCCAGACTATCATATTTTGAATATTTTTAGTCATTCGGTCCTTCCAATGACTTTTACGGTCAAACCATATTATAGGCAATGATATTTTAGTCTCTTCAAAATTTTTAATTATTTTTTTAATAAGTTTTTTTTTTTTTTTGGGAAAAAGGGGTGGGGTAGACCCAACAAGCTAAGACCTTGTGCCTTCAAAAAGCACCCGATCATTCCTCAACATCTCTATAATGCTATCTGGTGGCACATTAAACTCTATCCAATCACAGCGATTTCTAATCGCCATCTTAGCGAGCTCGTCAGCAACTGTATTATTTCTTCGCGGTGTATGTGTGATGTCGACATTCCACTCTCTTTCAAGCCATTCTTTGCACCATCTGATCAAATCCCCGCAGTGTCCTAGGGGTTCAGTCTCACCGGTAAGCCAAAGCTTTGCTTGTAGAGAGTCCGTTATCACCTTGATCCTTCTCTGGCCAATTTCCCAAGCCCATTTTATGCCTAGGTAGATTGCCCACAGTTCTCCTTCTGTAGCATTGCCAACCTTTGTCGTGCAGCTGAACCCTCCAATCCAATCCCCATTCTGGTTTCGCATAACTGCACCACATCCTGCAAGTTGCTCCTCCGAAACGAAGGAGGTGTCTGTATGCAGAGTTGTGCACCCATGCGTGCTCCAGAAAGTTTCTTCGTCCTCTGTTGGTTCCATCGCGGGGGCTTTTTGGCAACAAAAGCTTTCCTAGTCTCCATCCTCTGATCCCTTATCCACGCAATCT